CATGGGGCATTCATACATGTTCTTTGACTAATTCCTTTCCCTTCTTTCCACTGTTATCTCCCTCCCCCTTGTCCTCTGACCACTGTCAGTCTGCTCCATGTTTCTATGCCACTGGTCCTATTTTGCTTGTTAGTTTATTTTGTCTGTTAGATTCTTCTTATAACTGAGATCATATAATATTTCTTTCACTGACTGGCTTGTTTCACCTAATGTATTCTCTAGTTCCACCCATACTGTCTCAAAAGGTAGGAGTACCTTCCTTTCTTTCTGGTATATAGTATTTTGCTATCTAATGTACCACAGTTTTTTGATCCACTCACCTACTGGTAGGCACTTAGGCTGTTTCCAGCACTTGACTATCATAAATAATGCTGCTATGAACACAGAGATGCATAAGTTCTTTTGAAATGGTGATTCGGAATTCTTAGGGTATATTCCCAGCGGTGTATTCGCTGGGTCAAAAGGCAGTTTGATTTTTATTTTTTTTTTGAAGAAATTCCATACTGTTCCACAATAGCTGTACCAGTCTACATTCCACCAACAGTACACTAGGGTTCTCTTTTCTCTACATCCTCACCAGCACCTGTTTTTTGTTGATTTATTAATGATAGCAATTCTGACAAGTGTGAGGTGGTGTCTCATTGTGGTTTTAATTTGCATCTCTCTGATGGCTAGTGATGTTGAGTATCTTTTTGTATGTCTTTGGACCATCTGTATGTCCTCCTTGGAGAATTGTCTATTCAGGTCCTTTGCCCATTCAGTGAACAGCACTTCTAAAAATCCATTGAACAGTGCATATTTTTTTAGTGATTGCTGTATGCTCTTAGAATTCCCCAACTATACATGGAGTGGGACATTGTTGATAGGGAATTCATGTCTAGTTTCCTCTACCTGGTTCTGCCCAGGCTGTTTGCCAAGGCAGTCCTAGAGAGAGCAGATTTTGCACTTTCCAAGGTGCAAAAGTCCAATTCTCAAACTTCTCATAGGATGTCATTTGCAACAGTGCCTCTTTTTTTTACTTAGTGGCAGATCCTGAGGAGAGAGGTGCATAGGTCCAGCCATCACTCCATCCTGCCTTCTATTGCCCACAGTGTTGACGGCCATTGGCTGAAATGAGAAGGAAATGTACAGGGACCAAGGCCAGAGACCTGCCAGCCTCTCTCCCATGCAAACCATTTAGTGAACTCAACAATTTAACAGACTACAGAAAAGCAATCCCTGAATAAGGGGTTTCCATTTCCCGCTACGATTACAGAAGAGAGAAAGAGAAAATGCCATTCTATATAATCTCAGATGACTCCCACAGTCACATGTGAGCATTTGCCCCTGCCCTTAGGATTTCCACTGGTGACAGGATAATTCCTGTGTGGAGACAGGAAGCTGGGAGTGAAAGTGCCACCTCCAGTGATCATATAGTGATGTGGACCCCGCCTCATGGGGTCCGCCACATTGTGGATGAGGCAAGAAAAATTCACATGGACTACTGAGTCCTGTGGAGGAAAAAATACAGCATGGCTTTCCTCTCAAGAGGAGAAAAAGCCTCGGCCTTTGCCATGACCGGCCTTTATTTCTTTTCTGGGCACATTACATGAAGGTCCTCATTTACTATGCACAGGTTCACTTTAGGTGGTTACCTTTTACAGAAAACAAAGGAGAGGATGCTGCTAATCACATCACAGAAGAAGAATATTTGCAAATGCAAAGGGAAAAGTGGTTGAACTGGTTACACTCATCCTTGGAAGGTTTAGCATGGGTTTTAGGAAGTTAATTTAAAGATATGCAGTAAATGTTTACTACCTCAATTCAGGCAGAGGGAATTTTAGCAAAAGCAAGTCTCATAGCAGTCTAGGTACAATGCAGGCCTGATTCCCCATGAGAGAACCTATCTGTGGGTGTGGGTCCTGTGCATCTCTGAGTGGGAGCTGGGCCTACCCCACGCCAAACGGTTTCCTATATTTTCCCCCTTGTTTTTAGTTAGGACTGCTATAGATCCCACAAAGCTTGCTACTTGTTGGTCTCTCACACAGTCTGGGAAAGTAATTTGCAAATACATCAAAGTACACACAGCATTATTATAATCAGTAAGCAACCAGTGGTTCCAAAAACCCACATTCTCAGAGTAAGCCTATCAGTCATTGTCAGGCAGTAATGATCAAATAGACAACATTCAAAGAACTCTGAGGGCCTATTTTGAGTCAGGGTCAGATAGCTAAAGGGCCATAAAACTTTGGGGAAAGAAACTCATTTCAGGCTTGGACCCTTATCATTTAAATTGAGGGTATTAGCAAAGTAGGTTTCATAGGATTTTATGCTTTCTGTCTTAGGCCGATCAGCCCTGGGGAACCTACCCTTTCCACACAGGGCCACACCCACTCCGGCATTGTTTCAGGCTTAGGTCAAGCAGGAGAAGTAAGTCAGTCAAGAGATTAGGAGACTTCTCAGACAGAATGAGGGCTCAGGCTATGTCAAAACTGAGGGGTGAGGGTCTATCACCCCCTTTTTCTGTAGCCCCCGCAAATCCTCCCCGGAGGGCCTTCCCGTGATCATGCCTGTCTTAGGTGGTCTCTCCCTTAAGTAATCTTACCCCTCATTGGCTAACCAATCAAGCATTGGGGGCCAGGCAGGGTCAAGTAAAAGGAGCAGAGGTGGCACTCCTGCCAGGGAGATAAGCTTTGTCTCCTCAGTGGCTTATAGTCCCAAGGTCTCTCACTCAGCCTTAGCCATGGGGGGTTATAGCTTCTGAAATCAGGCAGGGCAGTTCCCAGCATTTAATCTCCTCCTTTTTTGTTTTCGAATGCAATTGTAGCTGTTAAACTTATGAAACCTACTATTTGCTCTTCCCAAATGCAGTCTCAAGAAAACAACCTCCATATAACATCATAAAGCACAAATAAGGATTAAGACAAGGGCACCCAAAGCCTTTTAGGACCCAAACTCATAACTTCAGTCCATTGAACCAGTTTTTAGGGTTCATACATTGTAAGATTATTATGGAGGGTCTGGAACACTTTTTGTTTGGTAAGGCCTTTGCTCAAGCATTAAGAGCCTTGGTGTCTCCCATGTAGTGGGGACACACCTAAAGGGAACATTATGGAGCCCTGGGGGGTTGTTGCCCTCTGCAGGAGGCACTTGAGCCTCAGCCCCTGTCATTGGGGCAGGCTCCATCTTTCTCCATTGGTGGACCCAGGCCCATAAGTGACGGTGTGGGTGTCTGTTTTCCTTTAGGTTGTTCAGGGTCAGCTGGGGCATCTGGTCTGTCAGTTGATCGATTCTCGGCTCCAGGTAGCAGAGCTTTGCATCTGTCCTGCTCATGATAAGGCTTTATTCTTTTGGCTGGCAGCCAGATAGGACCTGTAGGGATGGAAACACATGCATACCCTCTTCCCCATGTTTAGAGATCTACAGGGCCTTGCCAAGAGCCACCTCCCAGCAAATCTCTATATAAAACCTGAGGATAAGATGACTTTGGCTTGCTCTTCTGAAAATGTTCCTTAATTGGAGTAGAGTGATTCACCACAATTTAGAAAATTATATGTAAACATGGTTAACATAATCAAATTTGGCGGGGAAGGACTCATGACTTCCCTTTTTTGTTTTAAGATTTTTAAAAGTATGATGAGCCTGTTCTACAATTGCCAGATCTGTTGTATTGTAAGGTATTTCTGTTTTATGTTGGATATTCCAACACTGAAGGAAGACATGAGTAGAATGGGCAAGGTATCCAGGGCCATCATCAGTTTTAATTTGCTGAGGCCATCCTTAATGTCTAAAGGCCTCAAGCCAATGGGCTTGTATATTTTTAGCAGATTCTTATGTTAAAGCAGATGCATGTAGAACATCAGAGTAGGTATCAATAGAAATATGAACATATTTGAATTTTCCAAAGGGAGCATGAGTGACATCTGTTTGCCAAATTATTTGAGAACCTAGTCCTTGAGGATTAACTCCTGTAGATGGGGGTGCCTTGATAAGGGCTTGACAGTCAGGACATTCTTTAATAATTAGCTTAGCTTGAAAGACAGGCCCCCTGCTGTTTCTCCAAGCTGCAGTGAGTTTAAGCAGCAAGTTAATTGCCCTGTTGTGCTCAGGACCTGGTAGCTCTTAGGTTCAGAGTTTTCAAGGAAAGTGGGAAAGATGGGGCCGGGAGTTACTCTGAAAAAGCATGTTGTAGACAAAAATGGTTTTATGCCAAGAGCCTTTTGAGAGCTGGACCCATGCCACTCAGAATGGTCTCCTATAATATAGAGACCAAGAAACGCTGTGAATGAAGTGTTACCAAGGAAAGAGTGGTTCGTTGACATAGTAGGTGGATTGTGAAGACAGGAAGTATAATTTGTAAGGTAGGTTGAGCATATCATAAATTTAAATTTCCTTGAAATAGCAATGGTTATACTGTAATACGGTGAAAGATTTCCAGTGACAAGGAAGGTAAGTAAATAATTCCATCAGAAATGGTTTTTGTCTGGAGTATGCTGCTTATGTATAAATGCCTATCATTTTTCTCCATTAATCCCATTATGTCAGTGCTGAGTAGTTAAATATATATATTATGGTATGGAGTGAAGTTCCTAGGCATTTACATTTAATTTGTTTTCTTTTCTGGAATTTTCATTTTTACTTTAGAAAAGTAGTTTTCCATTGAAAACATTGAAGTGTTCTTAAATTATGTAGAAAAGTGAAGTTTTCTTCACTTGTTAGTTTTCTACTTAAAAGATTGCCTTTTCTATAGATTTGTTTGTATAATCTGATGATTTGCTTTAATTCCACTCGTTTAATGGTTAGATAAAACATGAGGTACCCAAAATCTGTTGTGGAATTTTTTAATGTCTCAAGTGTACTCTCAGGTTTGCACATTGAGTTTTTCAATATAAAATATTTTGAATGTAAAATATGTGAAATATAAAATATTTAAAAATCTTCCATATGATATAATCTTATGAGTTTTATTTTTTGTTTAACTTACTGTGTTCAAATTTTTTCATTTTCTCAATTTAATCCAGAAATAGACAAAAAGAAATATTACAAGTATAGCAGAGAGAAGACATTAAAGTGGCTGGGAAAGAAGGTATGGTACCTCTCTAGTACCTATGGCAAAAAATTGCAATGATCCTTTTTAAAATTGTAAAGAATGTGGTAAGTCTTAATCCAAAGATTCTTATATTTCCAACTAAGAGAGGAAAACTATATAAAGATATTCAGTATGAAAAGAAATCTTTTACTTTTCATCATCCCTAACTCATTTGTCTCTGGAATTTACTAGACAATTTCTTTTTTGTTTTTTCTTTGTTTCTTTTTGACCTGCAATGACCTTTCATTTCCACATGATTTTCACCACTGAATGAAGGAAGTTCTTGCTCTTTGTTGGTGAAGATCTGCATTCTCTAAGCTAGAAAAATACCAGGCTTGATGTGCATTTACTGTGTCTGGTCCTGCAGGTGTCTCAGAGGTGGATGTTGTTCCCACACAGCCAGGCAAGGGCTGAGGTAGACTGGATTCAGGCTTAGAGGAAGTGTGTCCCACTCTGTGTCTGGATGCTGAAGAAGGGTCATCTTCCAGGCACACCCTGTGCCTTAGTGATCCTAAGAAGTAGACTGTATATAAGGTCTGGCAGTGTTTTCAGATTGATTTAGTAAGTTGCAACCAGTATTTTTCTTTTAATGGGATAGAATAGCATATGATGGCTAGGGTAGGATAGGGTGTATTAAAATTTAACAGAGTAAGAGCAAGTATTAAGTATGGCTCTATGAAACATTTTTATATATGTTTCTGTATTGACTTGCTGTATATTTCTTACTCTGGACTGTGGCTAAAAAAAGAACAACACAAAAAGTACTTAGAAAGCCATTGGTCTAAGGATATAGTATATTTTCACATTGATTAAGAATCTCAGCCCTGGCTGATGTAGCTCAGTGGATTGAGCTCGGGCTGTGAACCAAAGGGTCGCTGGTTCAATTCCCCGTCAGGGCATATGCCTGGTTTGCAGGCCAGGTCCCCAGTGGGAGCCGTGTGAGAGGCAACCACACACTGATGTTTCTCTTCCTCTCTTTCTCCCTCCCTTTCCCTCTCTCTAAATAAATAAATAAAATTTTTTTTTAAAAAAAGAATCTCACCAGAGGAGATCTATAATAGCTGACTAAGTTTTTGCAAACCAGTGATACCAGTAGTTACAGTATTGACCCCTAGGATTCTCTTCTATCTTAATTATATGAAAAACCTGTTTGTATGTCACATGTTACCGGGCACATTAAGAGCCTTGGAACATGCGAATGAACCTTGTAGTATCAGACTTCTACTCTAAAAGTAGTGAAAAGATCTTAAAAGTGCCCCTATGTTTCTCTTTTCATTCACCTTAGTATTAGTCTTTGTAGGTGAAGAATGAGTGTAAGTACTGAACAGAATCTTGACTTTTAGTGTTTGCCCTTAGTAAATGGTAATGACATGAATGGCAAATTGACCTTTACATTTATTGAGTTTCTTTTCTTAAATTTCTAGGATTGGGGGAATTTGCAGTGTTTTGTTTAGAAAATAATTTCATATAAACTTTATGCCAGGTTCTGTTCTAAGGGCCTTAAATATAGGGTGGAGAAAAAGTAGGTTTACAGTTGTGAATATGCAAAATACAGAGTTTATTCTTATATTATCATTTATTAATTATTGTAACATTTTCCATATGAACAACTGTAAACCTTCTTTTCTCCCACCTTGTGTATTAACTCATTTAATCTTCATAACAATCCTCTAAGGTAGGTAGCATTTTTATCCCCATTTCAACGAGAAGCTAAGTAATTAGCCCATTGTCACAGAGTAAATCCAAGCAGCCCAATTCCAGAGTCACTACTCTCATATTGTGTAACTCTTAAGAAGTCTATGTGTTGAAATCATCCCAAAATGCTATAGCTGCTGCTTAGGCTTGGTCCAAATATGCAGTCATTTCTCATCTTCTGATATCTGCTGAAGAAATAATTCTTCCTGGATCTTAAATGAATTGAGGGCTATCTGGAGCTAATTTAAAAACCCTAGTATTTCCCTTTGGTTATTTCATAGGTTAATCAGACTATGGCAGCATTAAAAACCAATAACATCAATGTTGGTGCTCGGGTACAGTCAAATGCATTTTTCTCCAATCACCAGATTTCCAGTGACAAGGAAGGTAAGTAAATAATTTCTTTTCTGGGTTTTTTTTTTTTTTAGATTTTATTTATTTATTTTTAGAGAGGGAAGGGAAGGGGGGAGAGAGAGAGAGAGAGAGAGAGAGAGAGAGAGAGAGAGAGAGAGAGAGAGAGAGAGAGAGAGAGAGAGAGAGAAACATCAATGTGCGGTTGCTGCGGGTCATGGCCTGCAACCCAGGCATGTACCCTGACTGGGAATCGAACCTGCGACACTTTGGTTCACAGCCCGAGCTCAATCCACTGAGCTACGCCAGCCAGGGCGTAAGTAAATAATTTCATAAGAAATAATATTCATCTGGAATATGTTGCCTATGAATAAATGCCTATCTTGTGATTTCAAAATCTTAATGTCTCAGAAGCTTCTCGTTCTTGCCATTGTCTTCTTGTTTTGTGGCATTTTTTAAAATATTTTCTTTTTTTAACTTTATTTATTTATTTGTAGAAAAAGGGGAAGGGTGGGAGAAAGGGAGAGAAACATCATGCGTGGTTGCCCCTCACATGGCCTGCACTGGGAACCTGGCCTGCAACCCAAGCATGTGCCCTGACTGGGGATCGAACTGGCGACCCTTTGGTTCACAGCCCTCACTCAATCCACTGAGCTACACCAGCCAGGGGCATTTTTTTCTGAACCAAATAATATTTCTACCATTGGTCACTTCTATCACTAATGGATGCTTAAATCATTCACTGAACAAATACTTATTTACACTAATAATAACAACCCTAACAACTCTGGTTTTCATTCATTGAGGGTATATTGTATGCCAAGCCTTTTACTAAATTATCAGTTTACACACATTATCTCACCTGACCCCAGTAAGTCTCATTTTACAGTGAGATTCTTGAGGCTGTGTTCAAAGTCTCACTACTAGTAAAGGGTAAAACTAAGCTACCAGGGAGCCAATTTGACTCTTAAGCCCACAGTCAAGCTTCTTGTTATACTGTTTGTGTAGCACAGTGTCCAGTGAGCTGCATCTGTTTTCATCTTTCTCTCAAGAAGTATATGTCCAACTATAAGTCTCAATACTTCAACTTTAGATAAAAATTGATTTAATTGGCAATTTTTTATTTTATATTACTAAGGTACACTCTTGCCTCAGCATGCTCTTATTTTTATGCATATGTTGAGTAAAAACAGCTATATAATGCCATTAACATTCTGAAATGGAAGGACAGAAATTGTTCTGATTTTAAGCTTCAGTTCAGTGTTTCCCTGTTCTAGGTGTACAATTCTGAAACATCTGGCTTTAGTCATAAAAATAAACAAAAATTAGGAACAGTGCCCTGTTTGTGATTGATGGTAATTGAGGCAGTTTTTGATTTGCAGAAACATACCTTTGTCTGAACACAGCACTGACAGATGACAGATGACTCCAGCCGTTCTGGGAGTGGTGGACAATGCCCTTGCCATACTGAGTTTACCAGCTGTCAGGGTCTTTGGTTGGTTTTAACAAAAGAAGAGAGGGAATTGAATCAGATAAATTGATGGATGAATGGATAGATATATAAAACTGTAGTTTGTTTGTTTGTTTGTTTGTTTTTAATAGGAGAAGGGATATTAGAGGTTATTTAAACTGATGTCATTTTAAAAAATAAAAAACCTCTTTGTCTCAGAGAAGTTGATGACTTATCCAAGGTGACTCATCCTGGCTAGTAGACCGGGTCTTCTGCTCCTAGTCCAGTGTTTTCAGTTTCAAAATATAAGGGTCTGGGTTTGGATATATTTTCATTTAGTGTTCTAGCAACAAAGTAGCTTTATACTCTTTATTTTAGTTCCTTTTTTAGATACTAGCTTCATATGGTACCACAAGAAACAAATAATACATTGGCATTCTTAAATTTGTTTTGTCTATTTATGACTCATTGAATAATTTCTAGCCCAGAGAACCATGAGCACATTTTGAAAAGAATTCAGTGATCCCTTCCATTTCAACGTTGGCAGTGAAAATCTCTTACTGAAGACTTCTTAAAAAGATCAGGTGGTCCAGGAAGCAAACACTTTCTAACAAATACTGACGCAGCCCTAGCCAGATGGCTCAGTTGATTGGAGTGTCTTCCCTACACCAAAGGGTTGTGGTTTCCATCCTGGTCAGGGCACATACCTAGGTTGCAGGTTCAATCTCCAGTTGGGGCTCCTATAGGAGGCAACCAATCTTTTTCCTTTCTTCCCTTCCTTTCTTTCCCCTTCCTCCCTCTCTCCCTCCCTCCCTCTCTCTGTCTCTACCTCCCTCCCTCCCTTCCTTCTTTCCTTCTTTTACATCCTCACCTGAGATATGTTTATTGATTTTAGATATAGACAAAGAGAGAGAGACATGGATTGGGTTGGCCCTCCCATATGGCCCCAGTTGGGGCTCGAACCTGCAACTTACACATGTGTCCTGACCGGAAATGGAACCCGAAACCTCCTAGTGCATGGTAGGGCTCTCTAACCAATGAGCCACTCAGCCAGGGCAAAAATAAGTCTTTAAAGAACACACTGAGTTAAATTGTTATTTTAACTTGAAGGTAGAAGGGAATGAAAAAAAAAAAAAAGAAGCAAATAAATATCCCAGCAACAAACCTGGGATCATTACTATTGATATATATTCTCATATATCAATATATACAGAGTCCATATATCAATATGAGAATATTCTCTATGTATTGATCGTTTATATTCTCATGTGATTATTCCATCTTATGATTAAATTTGATTATCTCCTAGTATCTATATAAAATGCTGAATTAAGGAACAGGGCTCCAGCCAGGGTACATTGCTGGGTTGCAGGCCATAACCCCCAGCAACCGCACATTGATGTTTCTCTCTCTCTCTCTCTCTCTCCCCCCCCCCCCGCCTTCCCTCTCTAAAAATAAATAAATAAATAAAATATTAAAAAAAAAAAAAAAAAGGAACAGGGCTTTAAAATAGATTTTATTGTCTTATATAACTATTTAATCAATACTCAGTACTAAAGATCCGGATCTTCTTATTTTATTTATTTATTTATTTATTTATTTTTAGCCAGAGGGAAAGGGAAGGAGAAAGAGAGGGAGAGAAACATCAATGTGGTGGTTGCCTCTCATGTGCATCCTACTGGGAACCTGGCCCACAACCTAGGCACATGCCCTGACTGAGAATCAAACCGGCAACCATTTGGTTCACAGGCCTGTGTTCAGTTCACTGAGATACACCAGCCAGGGCCAGATGCTTTTCAATTAATGATTATACACTCTGCTGAGTTTAGTTTTTTTTACATTTTAAAGTATTTTATTACTTTGAAAGTATCTATAATGTTCAGGACTTTTATACAGCAGGAACTTAATAGGCATTATTTCTCCTAAATGAACATACTCATTACTATTTGATGATTAGATTTATTCTGTTTTGAAACAGACCTAGAAACAATTAGTCTTTTTCAACAGATGTGACTATCTCAGATGGTTATAGCTGATTTTTTAACTTTATTTGTATTCAAGGGCCTCAACTAAGAAAACAATCCTGAATTTTGGTTTTAACTATCATTTAGTGGGCATCTACTGTGTTATACTTATATGATCATATCTTTGATAGTCTTATATTGTCATGCATCATATCACTTTGCTACTTTGGTAATATTAGCATCCCCATTTTATAAATGAGCAAATGGATGAGAAGCTTGAATTTTCAAGGCAAGATAGAGCCATAATTCGAACTTTGGTTGACTTTAAATCTATCACAATTATTATTGTTTTTACTTCCACTCTTTAATCTGTTTTTTTTTTCCAGAGGACTATATTTGTTATGCCCATGGTCTGATATCTGATTATATCCCTAAAGAATTAAATGATGACTTATCTAAATATTTAAAGTAAGTACCGTTCATCTTCAGACATAATTAAGAAGTACCTTTTTAATTCTTGGTGTTCTACCAATAAGGTTTCTTTATGGCTTATCATATCACTGTTTCTGATAAGAGATTTTTTAGTTATGTCATAGACTCTGTAGTTTGGAGGTGATTTTTAATGGGCATTCATTGATTGAAATGAATTGATTTAGTGGATAGTGATTGCAGGAACTTGTGTTAGGATTAGAATTATGGGTTGGTATGGTTGTAGACAGTAAACTATGTTAAAATTTTATCCCCAGTTAGACTTAACAAATTCAGTTCTTTCTGATCATTGTAATGTAAATGAATGAAGGTGGGAAAGAAAGAATGGATGGTGTGTAGAATATTTTTAGAAGTTCTGTAGCATATTCTCTGTCATTAGATGTTCACTAAGTACTGTTATTGCATCCAGAACTTGGAATTCAAAAAAGGAAAAAATACTGTGTCTTTCAGGGCAGAAGGGTTTAAGAATGACTTGATTTGTGTTCCTTCCTTCATAAAGATTTTTGATATGATATGAAGATTTTACCTTAGGCTGAAAAAATGTTTTTTCCAATTTTAGTAATTGTTCAGAATTTATATCAGTGATGATTTAATAGTTTTCCCTCATCCTTAGAACTTTTTTCTCTGATACATGAAGGTAAAATTACTTTTTAATAGATAATGTTGTTTTTAGCCAATTGCCTAGGTCTTTTAAAAAATAATTAGCAGAAACTGGTTTTGGTTTTGGTCAAAGATTTGGGGTGAAAGATAAGTCAATTAAAGTTCTCTCTAATGGAAGAAAGGTACATTTTGTGTGTTTTTTGTCAATGGTTAATACAAGGAGGGATAATCTGAGGAGGGACCTCCCAAAACTAGAATTTATTTATGGAAATTGTATATCTATTCTTACTTGTGTAAACTTCAGTCACTTTGAAAGGACGCTCCATTTGATGCAGTAAGCCTATCAAATCGTTTTTTTTCTCACTGCTCAAAACAGTTTTTGAACTTGTCAATTTTGATAACTTTTAGTGCTTCTGCCATATTTTTGTTTCACTTCTTCCACATCAGCAAAACATTTCCCTTTGAAGATGTTTTTCCATCCTGGGGGAAAAGTTGCTCAAAGCAAGACTGTGTGAATAGGGAGGGTGGACATGTGGGTTATGCCATTTTTGGTCAAAAACTGCTGAGTGCTCAGCACAGTGTGGGTAGGTGTGCCTGTAAATCATCCATCATGAAATGGGCAAATGCGCTGATTGAGTCTTCAAAAAAATTTACTAAAGCCGAATGCAGCCTCTCACAACAACACCAGCTGATACACTGATTCAGATGGGTTCCTAGAACACTCACCTGTGGGGAAAGCCTGTACTATAAGGTACTCACTGTCCAAAAGACAGTTCTGGGGGTTTTTGGGTTCCACCTTAGGTAATTTTAACTTTTAAAAATATGCTAGATTCATTATATATGGAGAAAAAATACTACAATGCCAAAACACAGATTTATAGAGTCTAAAGAAAAGCAATTGAACTTCAACAAGAGTTCTAATTTTATTTTTTAGTTCACACAATTCCAATACAAGATATTAAGTAGTGAAATGAAGATTTATTCATTTAGTTAAATTTTTCTCTTTACACTGAGATAATTGTACAATATATGGAAGTGAAGCTGTCAGAAGAAAGTAGGGCATACTGAATCTTAAGTTGACCTAGCCTTTCTGTTTGCTTGTCTATGAAAAACCATGACTATAATTCTTATTTTTTACTCCTTAGGCTTCCAAAACCTTCAGCTTCATTGCCAAAGCCTCCATCAAAGGTAAGAAGCTGTGACTAAGATATTTTGGGGGACCTGGAACAATGTTATACTTTTACCACATAGGTTTAGTTTGTTGTAGTGTATTTTAAAGCATACTAAATCCACATTGCATGGAGTGATGTTAAGTGGAATAAAGATTGTACTAGGCTCTCCATCAATATTTTATATTTTTGTAGATTTTACCTGAATAATAAAGTACTGTGAAAACCCAATAAGAGTTGGTTAGCCAGAAAACTGTAAAAAAAATAATAGATACACAATTATAATTAAATATTTTTATTAGCTAGACCCTGTAATCAACTTTATTAATCACCAGGAATACTAAAATTCTGCTAAATCTAGCTGTCACTGTCACAGAGATGCATAGAGCATGGTTTTTGTAACACAAAGAATCCTTTGAGCAAGGATGACCATACTTTTTTTCTGTACTTGAAGTGATAGACACAATTTGTGTATAATATTTATCTGTTAGTAGAAAGCCTTTTCTTCTTTCAGATATTCTCAAACTGCCACCCATACATAGTTCCTCTGCGCTATGGGCCAGCAGCTTGTGTTTGTCTCAGAGATTGGGAGAGTAGAGAAGCCAATCATAAACCATACCTGATGACATACTATAGTATTCTTCAGTCCAGGTCTGACCTCCGAGACAGAGAAATAAACATGCACCAGTTTGTCAGTGAGGTCATTCTCCTGCCCGCAAAATATTAGAAACCTTGTAATGCGAGGTGGACATGTTGTGGATGTTAAACTTTTCTTTTTTCCTGACTTCCAGATGGCAAATATTCTCAGGATTTTTTTTTATTGTTGTCTTATTTGGAGGTGGTGGTAGCTCCAAAAAACATTTATTACTTTGACCTTTGGAAAAACATGGAAAATTTACAGTGCATCATTGTGAGTTGTGGGCCACTTTTAGCCATTTGTCAAAACTGATTCATCTTTCATTCTCTAGAGGAATAGCACTGGGCCAGGAAGTCAGACCCACACTTCTAGTCCAAATAGTTCACTGTCTCTGACAGTGGCACTTGGGGACAGAGACATAATTGTCTAAGGGGATGGGCACATTTGTATCTTTCTAACTTCTCTCCCTCCAAAAACCATGTTCCTTTCTCCCAAGTATTTGTCTTCCTACATAACTTTGAGGTCATTCATGAATGGATCTAACCCTATTTTGAATGTTTTAGCCTTTTTTCTCAGACTTAGTTTTCTGTTTTCTTATTTTAATTTCCAAACTTTCAGTTGTTTGTGATTTCTTCATTTATGATTTAGCTGAGGGGTGAGCAAACTTACTTTGTAAAGGCCAGATAGTAAATATTTTAGGCTTCCTGAAACAGATGGTCTCTGTTGCAACTTCTCAAACCCACTGTTGTGATGCAAAGACAGCCATAAACAACTCATAAATGCACCAGTGTGGCTGTGTTCCAGAAAAACTTCATTTATGAAAGTAGGCAGCCATCTGGATTTGGCCCATGGATAGTAGTTTGCCAAGCCCCAATTTAAATCTCAGCATTTTGTCTCCTAAATCTCAGCCTTTTCTCCTGGATTATTTTAGTTGCTTTTCAAGTGTCTCCTGCTCTATTGTGTCTTCCTGGGGTCCCAGTGAACACATTATGTACTGCACTAGATGATGTACCATAGTTTAAACGAGCATAGTGCAATGTCTTTTGCCGGCTTTCCTCTCTGTGTCCATGACTTGATTGATTTTACAGTAATTTAGTTGATTGTTTTCAGGAAGTATGTTCCAGTGGCTCATCTTTATATTTGTGTTATGATTGATAGCATGGAGCCTGTCATCCTTAATATGTTTTATATCATTTTCTTACTATCATATGTTTGCCTATGTTTAAACTCAGCTTTCTAATCCTTACTCCATCCATCTTTTGAATTTATCACTGTCAGCTAGCAGAGCTAAATGCAATCAGTGGATTTGGAGATGTTCCTGAATTTCTTCTTGCAAATCATTTGCAAGAATTGTAAGGCAAATCCATCCTAGTGTTAATTCCTTTGATACTCTCATTTTCTCTTCTCTTTCCAGAACTATAGCCATTTAGTCATACTTTTTGTTAATGTCTTTCTGAGCCACATTTCTATTTCTTTTGAAACATTTCCCCAAACCCATAGTGATTCAGTCTTTTATTGTAACAAAAAATATAAGTAAATATAACAATTATGGTTTTCTTCCAACATAGGCAGCAGCAGGCTAGGAATAACATAAAACCTAGTTAAGTACAGAGGCTACTGCAATCATTTTCTTATTTGCAAGTTCTTATAACTGGTGTCTTGTTTGATAGTGAACTATTAAAGCACCTCAACAGGTCAGTCATCTTATTAAATGTTTGACATTTATAAGGAAATTATCTTTCATCTTAAGCTCTTGTCATTAACATTTTTTAATTTGACTTACTAGTGAAAAGTAGTGAACATGCCTATGTGTTTATGATGACATCTGTATTAGTATATTTTGCCACAGGAGGAAAGCAAACGTCCTCATAACTTTAAGCTTTTTGTGCTGTGAAACTATTACAGTTTTTATGATTACCTCTGATTTCTACTCTTCCTGTTGAAGATACTTTCCTAGTGAAAATATACATCATCTAAACACTGTCCTAATTTTAGTAGAAACATGTGTTTCTACTAAACACATGTTAAAGTTGGTTGTTCAGCTAAATTTACTCTGCTGGTACATAGTTCACACATGATAAACTAATCTTTTTCTTTTGAAGATTCATTTTCTGGAGGTTGCTGTGTGGCCAAGTAGTTTTTTTCCTTTATGTGATAGAGTACCAGATGCCTCTCTGTTTTGTTCTAGAGAAAAATTTCAAGACATGTTTTATCTCTTGTTATACATGTGCTATGACATCTTTTAGTACCAACTTTACCAGTTTTTTGAAGCTGGGATCAAAATTGTATTTCCTAGGGTCCATCCATGTTGGGTCTTATCACTCTGGTATCCACAAAGAGCTTGAAAATCTGCAAAATTCTGAGTTGGGATCACTGTATTGTCAGTGTTCCTTTTAAAGACATATCTGCTCTATTCTGTGTCCTTTACATAATAAGTGTGGCATGATTCCTTCTCTACTGGGAACATTAAGACTAAGTCTACCTCTTGACAAGATTCTCATGTACATGAATGCAAAATACTCATGTGAAAGGTGAAAATGTGAAGTAAAGGTTGACTTAGTCAGGGTACATGCCTGGGTTGCAGGCCATGACCCCCAGCAACTGCACATTGATGTTTCTCTCTCTCTTTCTCCCTCCCTTCCCTCTCTAAAAATAAATAAATAAAATCTTAAAAAAAAAAACTTTAAAAAAAAAGGTTGACTTAGTTGCATTGGGCCTAATGGAAAGAGTGCTTATACAAAAAAAATGAGATCTCTCCCTAAATATTTTACTAGATGGCCTTAAGTTATTTGCTTAACATTTCTCTCCTTCCTTTTCCTGCTGGCTGCTTGCTTTGCAAAGTTGTTCTTATTTGGATGAAATGAGATTATTGAATTGAAAGGATGTGACAACATGAAGCTATAAAAAGATGGTAGTAAGAGCTATTCCTAAATGAATATTATACCAGCCCAAGAGGTAAATGAAGAAGAGGTTCTGGCTCTAGACAGCTGGCCTCCTCAAAGGAAATTCTCATCTTTGCTATCATTCCTACATTCACCCCCTTAAACTGCCCTGGAAGTCAGCAGTCCCTGTCCCTGGTACATGCAAAGTATGTGATCAATACTGCTAGACTGCCTAGAGACTGGGGGTGGGACATGCCTAATTATATCCCCTTGTTACCAAAACTGCTCCTCAGAAGGGCTTGTGTGGCTTAGTTCCCTAGATAATAAGCAAAATGTAGAAGAACTTGTAAAAAATTAGCACTTTGCAGGGTCAACTGCTTCATTTGGCTTCATTGTAGGTCCAAATTGCACATTGGTTCTTTCTAAATAGATTGATGTATCAAGGTAATATTTTATACCATTTCACTGCTCTAACATTGCAGAAAGTAAAGTTATCGCATGAACCCATAGAAGCAAAAGAAGATTACACTAAGTTTAATACTAAAGATTTGAAGACAGAAAAGGTATGTGTGTCCAGGTATAGTGACATACTCTTTCTTAAGACTCAGTGAGTGTGTTGCCTGGGGACATCCAGGAATGATTGCATACTTGACTGTAATTTTATAGTTTTAACCATGAAGAATTATTAACTTGTGACTTAAGTTTATTTCTGTGACTGAATCATCAATTCAGAATTATGAATGACAATGAAAATGTCAAGCAAGGAAGCCTTTAAGAATCAAAGAAAAGCAATGTACTTAGCAAGAGTGTGCCTAAACTTTTCCTGTATTCTAAGTGATAATGGGACAGAGGGAGGGAGCTGCTACAGGTAATGTTTTTTCAACTCTATGGTCCAGAAGCTTCCCAGAAATTATAATTGTTAATAACCCCCAAATTTAGTAATCACTCTAACAAATATTTTTGTAACATTTCTTACTAAGTTTTATCTTGTACATGCATTATAAATTTATATCTATGCTTTTAAATTGGCATTGGTATACGTGTGTGTGCGCGTGTGTGTGTAGTTCTGCCCTTTTCATTTATCATTGTGAAAATGTTCACATGTGATTAAGCATTCTTTGAAAATTTATTTTTCATCATATTCACTCATGTTATTTTATTTCGCCATATGAAATATAACATTTAATCATCCCCTTATTTTTGGACACAGCTTAATTTTTTTTTGTTTTTATGAAGTGATACACATTGATAGTCTGCATCTCTGATTTCATTAGACACAATTTAAACTAAGAGTAAGCACCTAGAAAACCTGAGCTCCTCCCATAATTATTGAGATATACATATGAAATGCTTCCCAAAAATGTAGTAGAAATTTGTACTCACAACCGTTATTCCTGCTGAGTATTAATCTTACATTCTTGACAACAGTTAGTATTATTCATTCTTAAAAATGTTTGCCTGTGTAATTAGGCTGCATTTCTTTAACTATAAAGTTAGTTG